AAAACCTGGTATGACCCAAGATGGGCAAAATTACAATAGCATTTCCTCCAAAATATTTCTTTCTCTCTTTTGAACTAATTAGATCTTTCTAGTTGGCAGCAGCATTGGCAGGTGGCAGTTCAAACTCTCCTTTGTAAACCTGCGCCCATCTCTGCTTTGGTGACATGCCCTGAGCTATATTTATCCCACTGGGTCAGACAGGTATAGCCCTCCTTGGCATGTCCTTGCGTTAGTCAATCTGCAGTCACACAGAGAGCAACCCCCAACCTCCAAAACAACAGACCTATGGGTGCTAAACAGACAAGCCAACCCAGTGGACAAGGCAGCAAGACCAATTACCAGACCTCTAATGACCGCAGAAATCTGGGAAAACAGGTAAAAATAAGTGTAAAGAAAAGGTGAGAGGGATGAAGCTATAGTTACTGACACACTGCGGGAATTGGGAAGACTGGTTCTCTTAATAAGCTGTCCACTACGTCTATATGGTTCATGAGAGGCCCGGTGTGGCACATAGCAACAAGCTAACAATATCTCTAATGGCCAAAGAGAAGGGTGAAAAGTGAACTCTGCACCTTTGGCAATATATAGTGTCAGCTATGGGACAAAAATGTAGATCTTGCCTATTTGTGTTAATTGAGGTATGCAGGATAATGTGGTCAAGCTTGGAAACAACTTGGTGCAATATTTTGGTTTCATCTCCATTATGTATATACTTATTGCAAATATTTTGCAAGATTCTTAAATTTACACAAATTGCTATCAACATAATTTGACAGTATATTAAAACTTGCTGTCTATGCAGTGCTGATCTACACAAGAGAAATATGTATTTGAAGACGAAGGCCCTGTCTCACTGCAGGATTCAAGAAACTGAGAGGAGAGAAGGGGCATGGACATTCTTATTATACTCAGAACATAATGCACCATCTAAAATAATTAAAACTTGTACAGTCCAAATGACCAGTCTGACTCCACCCTTACTTGTCCATCTAAAACATATTCATTTATATTATATTAGACATCATTCGAATCTCTTAAAGTGACCTAGGCCTTTTATTAGAGCTTGTCAAGCTGGCTCTGTCCCTGTGGTTTTCCTTCATCTCTCTCATTCAGCCTCTCCATTTCTTTCTTTGCCTCTGTGTCTCCAATTAGTAAATGACAGGAACGTAATGGGACGAAATGACCATGACCCAGCCACATAACAAAGCTTTCTGCAGCGACAGCAAAGAACAAGTCGTCCTGCTTTTACCATTATGTCTCTGTGCTCTTGCGATGGCAAATGTTCAAAAAGAATAACTCTCCATCACTTAACAATCAAACAAGGAGGAGCATTAGGAGGGGACAGTACGCAAAAAACAACACTATTCAACTGTGCTTTGGTAGAAAAGGCAGGGCAGGCTCGCTCACAAACTTTTCAGGTACACTCCAACCTAACAATATCTGCCTTTCAAAGTAGTATTATCTTGTCCAACTCTAGTCAAACTACTGAACTAAGTGTACCTACTTATTTGTATCAAAAAGAACTAGGAGTACACCAACAACAGTCCAAATCAAGACTACACCTGGACACTACAAAAGAATAAGACTAAACCAGCACTAGACTAGATTTAATAACCAGTACTAAACCCAATCAAAACAAATACTCAAGTGAATCTATGGAGTATTTTAAATTTGAAAGCTTTTGTTTCATGAGTGTCCCCTACACCTCAAACTGAAAAACCTTGGTGTAGACAAGTCCTCAGACATATAATATCCTCAAAGCGTTGAGGGTCTTTACACACTAAATCCTTCTATAAATGTCTGACCTTAAGACCAACAATTTATTAAAAAAGGATTGCTGCTAATGTTGATGTGGCAATGAGATGTGCAGTACTGAAGTACTGAATAAAAAGGTTAGCACAAATCCAGTGGAAAAAAGAAAAGGCATGTTTATGAGCATTAAACAAATAGCTTCAACTCTGACCAAAAGACACTTAGATTTTTGCTAAAACACATTTCACTAATTATGGACTGTGTTTATGACATCTGGTCTTGTTTGTCCCTTGCTGGATTATGAAACCAGGTTTATCTGCACAAATACATCAAAGTTCTACATAATTTGCTCTCAAACTTTTCAAAACCTGTGCAATTTTAGATTTCACATTGCCGTTGTGATCAATAAAGTATTACTCTTTCTCTTTAGAGGCTCTGAATATCAGTACTACGGACCCAGGACTATATTATGCCCAAACCCAAACTAAAACCTTGAATGCATAGAATACTTAGATTAATACAAAATTACAAACTCACCTGGAAACCATTGTCTTGGGATCTATAATCTGAACTACAATTTTTCATACTATGCCTATATATATATATATATATATATATATATATATATATATATATATATATATATATATATATATATATATATATATATATATATATATATATATATATATATATATTTGTACTATTGTGAAACAACTATAACAGAAAGTCGGATAAAAAGATACTTCTCATTTACATATTAACAACAGGAAATATCCACTATCTCTTTCAGAACATGGAGTCCAGGTTTTCTCAGCTCTTTTGGCACAGTCTCCAACTATAAAATTTTAAGCAGCTACAGATGTTAGGCATGCTCCCTTTCTCCCCAAACAAAATATACTGTAACTTCTTCACTAGAAAAATAAGTAACATTGGTTCACAGTTTGTACAAATATGTGTGATTATGTACTAAATGAATTGATATAAGAATTTTTTGTGTTTTTGTTTTGGTATACTTGACTGTAATAAGAATACATTGGTGAAGCAGTGTAGCCTCTGGTATCAACAAGACATTTCCTTTATACTGCAGCTCATGGGAGTCTTTCTTTATTTGGACCTCCTTCTGTAAATATTAGAGATGCTTCTGGTTCAGCTCCCTCAAGGTCAAAAGTCTTGCACAAATTCCCTGTGTTGAGCAACTCCAGCTGACAGTCTACTTACTGATATTACACGTACAAGCACTGTGGTTTGTAATCTATTACAGACACATAAATGATAAAATCTGTAGCTTGCATCTGGTAACTGTAAACAACATAAGGCAATGAATTAGGGAAGTGCAATTAATCAAATTTTAATTGAATCTTCCTCAAATGTTGTTACAAATTGCCAATGATTTACTTGGGGGCTTTTTAACAGACAGGTCCAATCTTGCAGTAAAGGCATGTGGTTTGGTGCAGAGTATAGAATTGGGAGGAATATAATGGACTTTGTGTTAAACACAACACAGAGGTCTTATTTATGTTTATGAAACAAAAAAATCTTGTATGTCTTATCCTTTTTGGCAGTAAATGTATGTATTTCTGCACATTCCACACCACTGACAAAAATGAAGTTTTGTACTAATTGTATCCTTCAGGCAATATTAAGTCAGATCAGGTGTGTAAAACTAAAATAAAAAATTCACATTTTACACCCTAACATATAGTATGACATGTTCTTGAAAAATGCGTATATAAAAACAAACTCACATCAATTCACGGGAAAGTGTTTTTATTCAATATTTCAAACCTCAGATGACACAAGGACAGACCACTTTGGCCATTCACAGGAAACACTTTCCATGGTTTGACCTTTCCGTTCCCATTTGTGGAAACTACTACTGTTCTTTACACAAAATCATGGAAAGTGTTGCACCTTGGTCTTTTTCAGATTGCTGTCCTCAAACACATTTCTAACGTAGCCAACCAGGACACAATAAATATATAATCAAATACAAACATAGGGGACAGTAGCTTTATGCTCACACTTTCCTCACACACACACCCTCTACACAGCCCAAGTCAACCTCTGCAATCCGTCTAACAAATATTTAACTGACAGCACAACTCAAAGCTCCTCAATTATTAATCTTAGGTGATACCAATCAATATTTCAACACTATCGCGAGCTTCCTTAATCCTAAGAGCCAAAGATATGGCATGATTATTATTTTAAAAATGAGTCAGCAACATTTAAATGTCATAAGCTTCAAATAATCATCATGGCACAAATTCAATCTGCAAATATTTCACAATCAGATAACTGCTGGAAGGAGAAGATGGCAGGCAAGAAAAGATAAGAGGAAAAAAATTGAAATAATTAGAATAATTTTGGATGGTGGGAGGAAGAAAATCTATTTAACAAAATATGTTTTTGGGACTTCATGGGTTTCAGAAGAATTAGTACTGTTGCCATAGCAATTAACAATTCAAAACAAAATGTTTTCTCCTTCAAGCTGAAAAGTACTCCAAATGGTGCCGAAACAGGAAACTGAAACATATGAACAAATGATATTCTGCACATAATTTAAATCAATGGCTTCTCAATACCATCCCATATGAAGCTGAGCAACTCCCGATACTTTGCAGCTGATGTCATCAACATTCCCTGGGCATAATGCTAACTGTTGGCACTGCTCTGTCTGAGGCTTTATTAGACTTTAATCTTTATTTTAACACAATCTGACCATAAAGAACTGACTTAGCTGAAACTACAACAGGTGAGCTGATTTGTGCTGTTAAACAAGTCTCACACATAAAATGACAGTCACAAATTGGCTAGCATTAGCCAAAGGCTTTTCAGTTACTCACACTCACCACTGCAAATCAAATTCAACAGGACAAGAATGCTCATATTGATCATAGGCTCCTAAAAATGTGTTGTTTGAATCCATTTTTTTATTTTCTGGAGTTTTCAGATTTTAAAACTTTTTTGAAAGTGCTAATGTATGCATTGTGTCTCCATGATAAGTCCTTCACATTCCACCATTAGAGTATATATGTAGAACACCACAATGTGATATCACTGCAAAGTATCAGTAGTAGGATATTAAGAAAGAACATCTATAATAAACTTCAATAGACAATAGTTCCAAGATTGATACAATTCCAAGGAGTGTATTCCCAGCAGGTCAGAGTGCAGTCCTGTAAATGTGGCGGTGTGTTTTTTGGCCGAAGTATCTGTGTGTGATTGCGAGAGTAGTGGTTTACCTGAGGTGGGCGAGCGGCTCCTCTCCATGTCAATGGATTGCTGGTTGTCAGAAAGTTCAGTAAGGCCTGGATGAGAAAGAGGGGGTAGAAAAAGGAGAGGGAGAAGTCGAGAAGCGGAAGAAAAAGAAAAGTAAGAGGAAGAATTGGAAAGGAAACGTGGTAGAGGGGGGCAGCAAGATGAAGAAAAGGATGGAAAAAGAACGTGAGGGATGAGTAGGAGAAAAGGAGGATGAAAAGGAATGAAAGAAAGAGGAGAAATGTAGAGGAAGATGGGAAGACAAAGGGGAGTAGAGGTGAAGGAGGGAGGAAGAGAAACGGGAAGATGAAAAAAAGGACGTAGAAAGAAGAAGGGGTAGAGGGAAAAAGAGAAGGAGGAGAGGAGGAGGAAAGAAACACAGAGAAGAAGAAATACAGTACATAGAGTCTGTCAGTTCATGTTAAATGTGGCAGTCACACAGAGTCAAGTTTGATTTGATATGAGCCACAATGCCCCTCAGACTGACCACATGGGAAAGAAACAGTGCTAACATAATGGTCTGTTAAACACCATTGTAGCCTGGCCAGCTACAATGACAGCAAAATCATATTACCTACAGATGTTGTTTTAATGTATCTAGACATTAACCTATTACATTCACATGTATTATTTTCTTAGTTTCTAATTAGTAAGAATACCACGCAACAAATCACACAGATAGAATAGTTGATGGTTTTGGGTTCAGACAGTTCCAGAAATTGGTCTAAAACCATTTATTTGACTACAATTTAAATACAGATGATGAATCAGGTTTAAATAATACAACTTTTTCACGCTATTTTTTCAAAAAAGGCCCTATATATACACCCAAGCATCTCATCTGTTATCCCCAAAATATGTATCATTTAACAAAGAATGAATCTATTCTGAATGTAATAATAAATTAGTGGTTGTGAGGGGCAGAGTGACTGTGACCTGATGTGACCTGCACTGGAATCTGCTCATTAAATGCCAGGAGCTTATTTTGGAGGTTTGACTGTATTGTGTTCAAATGTCAACATGAGCATAATCATCTGAGGACAGAAGCAGTGCACCAGTGCAGATCTCATGACGGAGAGGCCGAGACACGCACCGAGAAAAACAACATAAACATACAACATACATCACATCAGTCAAATGTTCAGTCACATGCATCGAGTACAGGCCAGACCACATACAAGGATTTGTATGTATACGTTTCTATTGTGAACAATGCAGTGGCAATGTTAGTAGTATCGACTAAACCTGATTCTTAATCTATATTGACATTATATTAGGGTAGAAATAAGTTAAAGGTGCATTACCTAATTTTCTGTAAGGGATCTGCAACCTGCTTGTTTCCATGGAGATGTTATGGCCTAGTGGTGCCACCTACATGTCTCCATGCCATACTGTGGAATGTTCTTAAGCAGTGGACCCTCTACCAGAAAGTCTAAGTAACATACCTTCAATATTTCTGATGCGAGTTGTAAGTCTTATGAACTACAATTAAAAAACATTCAAGTATTTTATTATTATTGTTTATTATTTTTGTTTGTTTGTTTTACAGTTGAACCCACAGGCATAAATGGTTATTCATTGTCTGAAATTGTGAAATCAGCGTTTAAGCTAAGTGAAATTACAAAATATTCCTTTCCTCTTTCTTGCAATTACAAATTCTCAGTCACCCTAGAAATCTAAAATTTCTCTTTTTATCCAAAAGCACATAGTTTTAGTTGAATCAATGAACAAATTATTCAGGATTAAATTTGCTTCAGTTAAGATATAGTGGGTCATATAATCTTGATAAGTGGCCTTACTTCGCCAACTCTTTCTGCAAAGGACATAGCGATGGACATGACTGGAATACAGTTTTACAATAATGAAAATTCAAATTACAAGTTGCTTAGATCCGTGTCATCTCCAGGTTTGTCCTTTTGCTTCGGAGGTTTTGTTGTTCACTTCACACACACAGCTCCTCCATCACCTTTGGGAGGGCCCTACTTACTCTGGTAGGAAGTACGGATCCTTTTCTTTGAATCTGAGTAAAAGTTAGACAGGCCGCGCATGCAAAACTCTGTAAGGCAGGCCCCACATGCCCACAGCAGCCACCAGCCACCAGGGGGAGTCAGGGGGAGAGGGGTAAAAATCAAAAGAAGTTGAGAAATAAAAAGCAACAAAGTGAAATTATAATAAAAATGTGATGAATAATACAAATTAGAAGGAGAAGGTTAGGGGAGAGGAGAGGAGAGAGAGAAGATCAGACCAAATTAAAGTGAGACAAGCAGTGAGTTAGTGTCAGGGAGGGACAGACCGCTACTGCAACACAAACCCAGAGTCAACTACTTAAACACAAATTACACCACAGCATTTGCATAAATCATGCTATATTATAATGTATTTGCAATGTATCAGAATTTTGTCAATGAAAGTTTACTATAAGTATAAGTTTACTAAAAGTAAATTTTCAGTTCCTAATTTTAAATCTTGGCTCCTAGTATCGTTCATAGAATAATTGCATTTGCTGTAATGGACAAAACTTAATCTTATTTACCAGCAAATATAGTTGTGTACAAAATAATTAACTTACAAAGTACAAACTGAACATGTAATTATTCTAGCCACACAATGAGAAAGAAGATAATTTACTTGCAACATACATAGCATTTTGTGGGGGGATGAATAAACAATTAAATACACCTTCTGTTAAAGAGTTACCTCATTTTCTGTGTAATAAAAAGGTTGTGACAGCTGTATAAGTAGACATATATTGATGAACAGGTAAAAATGTGGAGACATGAGAGTCATGGCAGCCGATTATGTGGCACTGTTCAAACTTTTGTCTCAGCTCGATATCAGCACAGGTACTTATTTTTGCTCCATCTACAAATTGATTTTAAAGACTCGACTCAAAGACATTTACAAAAGGGGAAGTCAAAAAGAGGTTAAGTGCTGTGCTTGTCAATAACGGGCACTTAAGCAACAGTACTATATAAGTGGTGGTTTCAAAAAGACCAAAGTCATGTCTCAGTCTACGGCGCGGTAAAAAAACTGTCAAATATTCATTTAAAAGGATTATATAAAGTGCCTAAATATTTAAACACTGAACCTTACTTAGTTAAGGTCACTTTTCTTCACATTTGTTAGTTTTTTAATGCTGGGATGAATATTCTTATAGAAGACAGTGAGTTTCAGATCCCTCCACCAAAATTAGTAAGAGACAAAGGGGACATAGGATAAGGGTTGGTACATCCCGTGGCTTTTACTACATATCAGGTCTATGCTCAAGCAAGAATACATAAGACATAGAAAAATCTCAGACAACATGCATATAATGCAAACATGAGATGCAGCCTGTTACATGCACCTGGTCTCATAGTGCAGACAGGCAAACTGACATGGACAGTGTTAAGGCTTTGTTAATGTGTGTGCGAGAGTCACAGAGAAGACACAGAGGGGACAGAGAGAGGTGGGTCGATATCAGTAGGTCGAATAAGTAATTTTTTTTTTCTTTGCTTTATTTTAATGCATGCCCTTTTTTAATCTTTAGTTCATAATTCTCTTCATAATTTTTTGTTGCACCATACCGCCCAGTACCTATTTTGTGAATTTTGTTCTGACAATGGCAGTTAAATCTGATATTAAATGAGACAATAGCAATAGTTCTGATAGCATTTTTTTTCCTTAAGAAAAACATAAATCTATCAAATATGTCGAGTTTTGCATTCATAAATTTAAACCTATCTGTATTTGGCAACTGTCAATTAGAGACTACTAAAAAGAATATTTCAAAAAGCTATTTTAATTGTCTCCATCCCTTTTTAAAACCAAAACATCAATAAATGCAGAATCTGATTTGCATGTCATTACAATAAACTAATTACATACATTTTAAACCTCTGCAGAAGCCCTTGACCTATTCTGATCTAAGATTTAATCAGCTTTAACTACTTAATGCAGAGATTTTAATCAATGTGCTCTAATTGTAATTAAATCAACAATATGGATGGCATTCTTGACAGACTAGCCCAGTCCTATGTGAAAGGAGGGAGAAGAGAAGGACAGATAGGACAGCATTGTATATGTAATGAATGCATATAAGACATCAGTGAGCGTGTGCCCATGTATTGCAATATCAGCATTTGGAGTATTTCAGTTTGAGTGCTACCTGAGGTGGACTGTCTGTTCCTGCGAGGGGAACGGGTAAGGCGTTGATAGGGGTCTGAGGATCCATAGAGGTCCAGCGTCGACATACACAGCAAAATGGTTTTCTGCAAATAGTCCACCACGGCCAGGCCATTGCAGTTCCCAAACGCAAGGCTACAGAAAATACAAGCAGAGACATTAATAATATGAGATATCCACAACTCAAATCAGACTTGACAATACAAGGTGTTACAAGTACAAGGCACAAGCAAATCAACACCTGCAATTTGTTGTAATTATTATAATCAACAGCCAACTTGTACAGTCTGCAGTCAATTTTAAGAATGGGAGGACAAATAGTTTTTTTAATAGCTTTCAATTTTAAAAGAAAATGCTCTGTACCAACTTGAAGCACCACAAAGCTACAACAAAATATGCTGTAGTCTTGGGAATTATATCTTCACATTATGGAATTTCAATATGCCATAAAATATAACACTGAGCTATAAGTTTTCTACATAGTATTTGCACATACAAAACCAGCATTCCCACACATTAAACATACATTATGTCTGCTGGTGTCTTGTCGCCATAGAGATAATAATAATAATGCATTGGATTTATATAGCGCCTTTCAAGACACCCAAAGCACATTACAGTGTATTCATTCACTCCATACTGAAGGTGAAGATGTTATTGCTCTGCCTGGAATGTTCCACAGTATGGTAGTAAACCTATGTATATTGCAATTATTAAATCACAGGTGTTTTTGTAGCTAAAATACCTTTAAAAATATGCATTCTTATGAGCTCGCCTGTTCATGAATCTGACCTGTAACTTGGTAGCGTCACCTAATTGTCACCATAGACAGCTGAATTTAATGCTATGCTGTGGCCCATCCCTCACTGTGTCTGGGGTAAACATGTGGGGCAGATGGGACAGGACTCACAGGCCGTAGGCAGAGTTGATGTCCACACTGGTGATCTGCTGAGGAGGCTCTCCATCCACCCACAGCAGCTGCACCACCAGCTCCGCCTGATACCCAGGGGGAACCCGCACACAGCGCTCCTTCACCCTGAGAGCAAAACAAGAGGAAACAAGATACATGTTTCTATTAAGATATTATAATGTGCTAGCTCTAACCCTGGATAAAGGGATGGGTCTGCAACAAAGAGTGCCAAATATTAAAACCAAAGTCAGTGAAGCTTTAAATCATTGCTTTCTGTAAATACATTGAGCAAAAAAAAATATATATATGTATATATATATATATATATATATATATATATATATATATATATATATGGACAGGGCAAAAGGATGCCATTGCTTTTAATGGAAATAATATTTTCAGCCTACAGAGGGCTTAATTTTATAGACACCCTGAAAAACATAGTGAAATAATGATGTGGTAGGGTAGTCCTTTTAGCCAAAATTGAATTTCTGCAACTCAAAATGATTCTCAGTCTCTTGTGTGGCCCCCATGTGCTTGTACGCATGTTTGACAATGTCGTGACATGCCCCTAAAGAGACAGCGGATGGTGTCTTGTGGGATGTCCTTCCAAATCTGTGTAAGGGCATCACTAAGATCCTTTAAAATCTTAGGAGCAACCTGGAAGCATCTGATAGACACAAACTTAATGTACCAGAGGTGCTCTATTGGGTTTAAGTCAGGTGATTGTGAGGGCCATTCAACTGAATCAATCCCTTCATCTTCCAGGTACTGCTTCCATACCCTTGCCACATGAGCCTGGGTATTGTCGTCCATGAGGAGGAACCCAGGACCTACTGCACCAGTGCAGGGTCGGACAATGGGTTCAAGGATTTCATCTCGTTACCAAATAACAATCAAACTACCGTTTTCTAGCCAGTAGTGGTCTGTATGTCCCTCCATGGATATGCCTCCACAGACCATCACTGACCCACCACCAAACCGCTCATGCTGAACAATGTTGCATGGACAGCGTTTTCCTTGTCTTCTCCAGACTCTTTCACGTCTATCACAGGTACTCAGGATGAACCTGCTCTCATCTGTGAAAAGCCCAGGGTACCAGTGGCAGACTTGCCAATTCTAGTATGGTTAAACAAGTGCCAATAGAGCTCCACAGAGCTGGGCGGTGAGCAGAGGGCTCACTACCCCTCAAGCCACCCTCATGAAGTCTATTTCTGATTGTCTGGACAGAGACATTCACACCAGTTTTTTTGAGCAGTGTATTTGCACATGATCAGTTCTACAGATAAGGATATACAAGTTGCTGGCATTATTTGTATTCTTCATTTCTAAGTTAATAATAATTAAACAGGTACATGGCACCAATTTGCTTTACAGTACAATATTTGGTTTGCTTTTATCTGCAATTGTGTCATTGGAAACTGTATGTAAAGTCAAGTGTGGCCAAAATCCCTGTTCTTGAGAATGGTGTAGTACTGGTCTTACTTGAGGCAGCTGTCCTTCATGCCCTCTGGAGTGCCTCCTCGGGGGCTAGTGGCGTGTGGGTGGTGGGGCTGGGGGGAGTGGGACCCTGGTTCAGAGAAACACGGGTTGTTCTCTGTTTCTGATGGAGAGATGACGTCCTCGGGCTCACACTGCAGACGCACCTCCAGACACTGGTAACACAAACAAGAAAGTGTGCAGGCAGTTTATAAGATTAACATTAGTAACTTTTTTGCATTGGTCCACATTAGATTCTATTTAATGAGGAAAGTAGGCAATAGGCATAATATTTAATATAGATGGGGGCAGATAAAATTATTATAGTTAAAATACAGATTTTGGTTGTAATACAGTGTATTTTAGATTGTTGTCACCAACAGAAATCAGGTTCAACATTTGTTATTTACCTTTGGAGGTTTGTTCTGAAAATATCATGTGATCAACAGAAAAAAATTGGCTATTGCCCTCCATGTGGGAGTATGACATCATCACCTTCTAGTATCTGAAAAACACTAATACTGTAGCCATTCACAAAATTCCAATGAGTTTAAGGCACACATTTTTGTAGTAAGAACACATTCACTAAGCACTGTCCAGGATGAAACATCCAAGCTTCTTGAGTACATCAAACACAAGGCCCCGACAGATGAGGTGCTCAGAGAATGTCTCAGACAGTGGGGTCCAGAGGAAGAGGTGCTGGAAGGACCATCATGGCAGGACAAACCCCTACATGGGGCTTACCACCGGAACATAACTGAAGTGGCTAATATCAAGAAATCCTACCAATGGCTTGAGAGGGCTGGTCTGAAGGACAGCACAGAGGCACTGATCCTGGCTGCTCAGGAGCAGGCCCTGGGCACTCGAGCAATAGAGGCCCAGATCTACCACACAAGACCCATGGCGTAGGCTGTGCAAAGAGGCTCCTGAGACAGTCCAGCACATAACTGCAGGGTGTAAGATGCTGGCAAGGAAAGCATACATGGAGCGACATAACCAAGTGGCAGGCATAGTGTGCAGAAACATCTGTACAGAGTACAGACTGGAGACCCCAGGATCAAGGTGGGAAACACCTCCAAAGGTTGTGGAGAATGACCGAGCCAAGATCCTGTGGGACTTCCAGATACAGACTGACAGAATGGTGATGGCGAACCAACCAGACATAGTGGTGGTGGGTAAGAAACAGAGCAGAGCCGTGGTGGTGGACATCGCAATACCAAGCGATGGTAATATCAGGAAAAAGGAACACGAGAAACTAGAGAAATACCAGGGGCTCAAGGAGGAGCTGGAGAGAGCCTGGAAAGTAAAGGCATCAGTGGTGCCTGTGGTGATCGGAGCACTCGGGGCTGTAACCCCCAAACTGGAAGAGTGGCTACAACAGATACCGGGAAAAACAACGGACATCTCAGTCCAGAAAAGTGCAGTACTGGGAACAGCAAAGATACTGCGCAGAACTCTCAAGCTCCCAGGCCTCTGGTAGAGGACCCGAGCTGAATGAGGGTGAGAGAGACCTACCACCGTGGCAGGGGAGAAACACTTTTTAAAAAAAAATTATATATATATATATATATATATATATATATATATATATATATATATATATATATATATATATATTACATATATATACACACACATACATACATATCTAACTAAATAAATAAATGAAATCAGAGTTACAAATTTTGCCACACTGCTGTAACAAGTGTTTTGTATACAAAAAAGGTAAAATTACTATAATTTGTGTTGCAGTTGAATAAAAATTGCAGGCGCAGCAGACCAGCAGAAGAATAGAATTATCATAATTTAAGTAAATTTAATGTAAAATGTAAATATCAGTAATGCAATAGTACATAGAATTGTCATACTCATCTACTGCTAAAAAAATATTCAATGTATATTTTACTACTGTAAGAATCATCACCTTCTAGAATCATAAAACAACCAATCAGTGTTCCTCACTCACCACTATCTGCGTGTTGGCATCATACTTGCTGAATCGGTACAGAATGATGTGCGCTGAAATGCCCACCACACAGAAGATCCGACTCTGAGGGCACCAGCTGACCATCTGAACAGCAAACGGGTCATCCTCCGCACTCTCGCCTCCTTTTGGCTTCTCAAACACTTTAGATGTCTTCATCTTGTACAGCATCTGGAGTGTGACTGGACATGCACAGGAATTTGGTAAACAATATGCTAAGTTGAGTTGCCTTTGGTGGTACATGGGTCCCTCTTCCATTTGAATATTTATCATAGACTATATTAAAAGAAAGTGTGAAATCCCATAGCATTTGGCCCCAGTCAAATGAAGCTCACCGACACTGGCAGTTATGGGGTGAATTTGGAGCGGAGTTACATTTTAGGAGTAGGAATTGATATGCAGACAAAATGGCTAAATAACCAGGATCATGTAGAGTGGGTTAATATCAACATAAAACTAAAATAAAGAGACTGACAGCAGCAGTTATGGAGAGAGGATCGATGTTTTTTTGATAAGTGAATTGGAGCCAGAGCTTTGCTATTGGAATGTAACAGCTGGCTATGTAGCTATGTTCATTATACAGTCTATGGCATTGATGCTGTTGTTGTAGAGACAAATGTATAACTGTTATAACCCTTTGGGATAATCATCCTTGTTTTATTCAAATTTTGGTTTTTGTTTAGATCTGGTGGCACTCAGTATACCATATATTATCTTAAATTGCACAGGTTATTTATTTATACCTTTATAATACCTTTTCGATGTGTGCAATACAGTCTTATCTTAGCATTTATCAATCAATCTGTGATCTAATTTAAAGTCTATATAATGTCATAAAAGTACATTAATTTCACTATAGGATATGATGTTTCATTGCGTAAAGCTATGAGCATGGATCATTCTGCAATTATCAATACATTATATTGATTTCTTCTTGTGGTGTCCCAACATTTTGAACATCTGCTGCTGCCACCGATCTTGGAAAATGATATTACGGTTATAAACATATTCTATTATGATTGAGTATCACAAATGCCTGAAATCTATTTAACTCGCAATCAACACAACACCGTAACTTTTCTTGTGTGCATTCTTACAAATATCTTACTTACAAATCTGCTTTTAGCCAGTGTACTTACTTGCAGACGCATCCCAAAACTTGATTGATCCATCAGCATGCCTACGCAAAGAGAAATGATTTTATGTCAGGTTAAAATTATTGATTCAGCAGAGAGGAAAATACAAGAAAATATTGCACAGTTGGTGCAGTTTCGTGCTGTGAAAATCACTAGCATAAAAGACAACAAGAATAGCATGGTGTCAGCTAAATGTTGAACTTGATTTTGGTGCCCGTTAAAAGCCTGTCTGCCCTGTGAGCGAAACAATAGCATACACCACTGTACAATATGTGATAACAGCGGGATGCTAAAATAAACCTTTTCCATCGCTTTCAGAGATAATACTTCATACTTTTTTCTCATGTGGGATCCCTACTGTGAACAGAAAAAAAATATTCACTATGTGTGGAACAAAAAACGAGTTTACAATACAGATACACAATATTATACTTATTAACATGAAGGCTTATTAGTATATGTTAAGTGATATGCTGACAGTTTAAGTAGGGTCTATCATTTCTCTTGTTTCGTAATCCTATAAAAATATGGAACAAGAATGGCTTTGGTGCAGGAGGAGTTTGTCCCGCTTCTGGATGGGCCACAAATAAAATCATAATAATAAAAATGTCTTATTTAAAATATATATTAAAAGGTTAATATTAACATTTAATTGCAGTAAAAAATAGCCATTGTTATATTTGATTTTGCCACCTGAAAAATCTGTTCTTAAGTTATGCATATGCCCGAACATTCATGCTATGAGAGCTAGGAACAAGAAAAGATTAGTTAAATTAAATAGTCACAGTGGCCCGGAGGGGGACTGAATTAAAGACTACACCTCACCTCCTTCCTCCCTCACGTTTTGGGAATCAGGTACTACAGCTTTAATACAAGATCAATTAATTATTATAACATCACTATGGTTTATGTATAAATGCCTTTTATTGATAGATAGATCTTTATTGCAGACTTGTGGTCGAGAATAAAAAACAAACAGGCAAACATTATACAAAAAACATACAAAAATACTTGCTTCATTTAACACTTCTTTTAATATTTTCTAACTTACCCTGTGATGATTACTTCTGGATATGTGTGTGAGCCTAATGTCCACGTGCCTCCACTGATGGGCCACTCCTGGTGTAATAAAAGTACATTCTTCTTACTGTTCAAATATCCTAATTTACAAAGCCATATTCCCTATAGACTGACTCCCTTACCTTTTGGCTGTAGCCGGTCTTTTTATGCTTGGCTCCTATAGAGTAGAGGATGGGGATGATATCAGGCGGACAGTCTGCGAAGTAGGCTGTGCAGGTGACGGGGGACTCGTGAACGTCCATAGGGTAGGGGTTTTCAAATACAGGGAAGCTAAGACACATAAGAATAATGCAGAGGAGTTTAATAAGACATGGAAATAGTGATGCTTCAAAGAGAAAAATATCCCCAAGGATTACAACAACACAATTACTGCATGCTTTTTTTTTCTAGTTTTAGAACATTTATTTAAATTCTCATCACAGATCATAAGAGCTTATTTTGTTACCTTGGTTGCTGGAACTCAGTGTACTTTCTCTCATTTTAAGGAGAAATGTTTTTTGGGAAAACCATAAAATATACATTTACACCATTATAAAGTATACTATTTACAAAAACAAAAATTAAGCTACTGGTGAGTCTGATAATACATTAAAATACATTTATTTTACTTGATTATTTCCTGTGTATTATTTTGTGTGTTCTGTATATTTCTGCCTCAACAATTCAATACAAAAAAACTGAGTTTGGGATGACATATAATTTGGTATATATAAATATATTAGTTTAGTTTTCTTATTTACTTAGATACCTACAGTGCCATAGCTTGACGTATTAGACAACAAGTGAAAAGTTATATCAAGTCAATGTGTTGGAAAAACAATTCATTTGATGAGGTATTACAAGAGCCAAAATGTGATGATGACTTGTTTGTAGCAAGATGGCAACACCTGTCTAGTAAAATTATTCGTATGACATTTAAAAAATAGAACCCTACCTGTTCTAATTAAATAACCTAATTAATTATCTAAGGCAATCAATGCTCTTTCACTAAATTAGAGTTTGTCGCCTTAAGCACAAATCTGTCAACTGCAGCCCTTCATCAGAGACAACAGAGGGACATAATGTTCAAGGTGAGGCTCACACATAAATGATGTTTCCTGGGGTTATGTCAAATCTCCTCATCTATTTTAACTCAAACAAGATCACTTATCCCTGATTTAAAGTCAGGGATAAGTGATAGAGATCTGTAGTCCACTGGCTCTGAAATAGTACAGATCCTTACTAGTGCTATAAGAGTGGCTACATATGGTTTCGATGGATTAGTTTCATAGTTCCAGTGCAATATTCTAAATCTAGTCTTGTAATCTAGTTTTGATTTGACTTTGGTAGGAGCCCAGTTTAATCCTCATGTAGACTTGGTTCGGTCCTGTCCAAGACTTCTTTACTACTGGTCCAGGTTTAGTTCCACTTTTGATATGGTGTGCAAGTGTGAATGCTGCCTTAGCGACCCTTATTGAAATTATGTTATATGTGACATTAGTTTAGTCTTGGTTTATAATTGTTTATCTTTTAATATAGGAATCATTATAACCTAAATGTGACCTGGCCTGGAACACTGTAGTTCATACCATGTTATGACTTTTCCTTCATCACATTGTTGACAGATCTCCCTGGTATTGTCCAGCATTGTCCAATAAAATTAAGCTGTAGCCTAAATTCAACTTAACTAGAAACATACTTGCTCTGTGTGAGATCCACTACAATCAGGTCCTTTTCCAAAAGCACCACAACCGCGTAAGGCTCCTGGACCTCTGCAGCACACAAAGGGCAAATGAATGGGTTTGTATGAATGAACAAAAAAGCACTTTAGACTCCCCAAAGCATGCTGACTGGATGAGTTAAAAATACATGTCACTCTACTTGCTGTAAGTTTAGTGAAAATTTTCCAGATCTTGAACCCTACTAAGGTCAGCTCAGTTACAGTAAGGTAGCGGTCTTAAATAACAAGTAGAACATTTGTTTACTATTTGAATGAATTCATTTGGATTTCTTACATGTAAATCTAGTGTTATGTTAGGTCAATATCACTGGACAAAAAGAAAAGTAGGCATGACATTCAACACTAACTTTTTCAAGAATAAATTAAGACATTATAATTCCTTTGAGTCTCCTTCATATTCAGATTATGATTACAGCAGACATGGGACTGACGGATGCACTGAACCAAATAGGAGGTGCCAAACAAAGAAAGATGTATCAATTACGCCTTTCTGCACCTCATCCCCCAAAGAAACTTTTTTATAATTATACCTTTCTGTATGACTAAATAAATACGTGTGAATTTTGTGTCTGAATATTTAATGCCACAATAACCCAAAGGATGAATGGCTTTGAATAGCTGCATAATAGCATGTCCCTGTTTGAAATTAATTGAGTATAGTGTTGCACAAGCTTACCATTGTTGTAGGGGGTCTCACAGAGCACCATAAACTCCACAATGGGATGATCCATCTCCAGCACAGTAATGGCCTTTCCGTGCATGATGGTTAATGTGGGTCGGCGTCCGGCTTTGTCATATGAAAGCCCTCCAGAGAAGATGATAAAAGGCTCGCTGTGTGGACAGGCATTCAGGAGAGATTATTCAGACGCTATGTGGCTTTAGAGTTACATACAGATAGCGTGAGTGAGCAATACAGATAAAACAGTCTAGACTTCCACTTTGTACATTTCCGTAGTACTTACAATAATGTAAAAGAATAAAAAAAACATTAGTAAGCAGGTCTTGTTTTTATATGTAACTTAAAGGTGCACTATGTAATTATGTATCATATTTTTCAGACTATAAGTGACAATTTTTCATGGTTTAGGTGGTCCTGCGACTTATACTCAGGTGAGACTTATATATTAAAATATATAATTTCACATGTTTGTTTTTGTCACATTGACAGCTGCGAGAGGGCACTCTAGGCTTGTGTGCCAATATTTGCTACTCCTATTACTCCTGTACCACTGTCACTTCACATTCTACGCATGTCTCCTGCATAAAGAACCGCGGTCCTGCTGCAAGTAGTGAAATATGGAGCCGAAAATGGTAATCGAGAAGCAGAAAGAAAGTATGGAGCAAGCGAGAAACTTGTTAGGGACTGGTAAAAAGTGGAGGATACTCTAACTGCAATGAAGAAAAAAAAAAAGCTTAATCACGGGCTAAAAGCTAGATTTTGCAATTTGAAGTAAGATCGTGAGTTTGGTGAACTTGTTATGTTATGTTGTTTATGCTATAGTTATCTGAATAATTGTTAATATGTTATGTTAACATACCAGGCACCTATTCAGCCTGTTGTTCATTGTGTAATTGTTATTACTAAATTTCCCCCCAAAAGTGTGGCTTATATATGTTTTTCTTCTCCACTATGCGTATTTTGGCTGGTGCGACTTATACTCCGGAGCATCTTATAGTCCAGAAAATTTGGTATGTCATTTGCGTGCCTCTGAGATGATACTGCTTTACCAGGAATGTTCCCCAGTATGGCATTAAATTTATGGAGACAAGCGGGTGATGCCACTAGGCCAAGCTGTAGGTGAGATCTGTGAATATCTCACATAAAGAATGCATATTTTTAAGCAATAAAAATGTGTGTAATTGAATAAATGCAAAATAGATGTTAGATGCCAGTCTGTGGAACATTCCAATCAAATGAATAACATCTGCATGGAGACAGGCATGTACAGCTCCCCCACTAGAGCACTTTTAAGTATGATTAATTACAAGTTGTCTACAATGTTTTGTTACATTATGTAGCTTGTCTGGCAGTGAGGTTCTTCACTTGGTTGTCAACATGAGATGTTATTGTTTTCTTATTGATATTGATCCACAGTATGGCATTAAACACATCTTGCATTTATCCAATTCCAGCAAAAAATACCTTGAACAGCATGTATATTTAGTGTGAGTGAGGTAGCCACTCCACAGATCTCACCAGTGACTTGACCTTATGGCGTCATCTGCTCTACTCCATGGAGTTTAATGCCTAATGTCTGCTCTAACAATAAAAAGCGACGACTCAAATTATGCGTAGTTTTAGTTTAAAGATCTATGTACATTAATACTGTGTATTAAATATTATAGCTTTTTTTTTTAATTTGTTTTAAGATATAGTGAATAAACTCATAGCCTCATAGTTATTAAAACATACCTGCTTCTTGAGGTTTTGTACTCCACTTTGAGAATCGGTTTACATGACTCCTTTTTCCCATCCTTCTGTATCTTTCCTAAAAGCAAACACAAAAATAGAAATGATGAAGCAAAAATGATGCTTATTTTGAAAACCACAGGACATCTGGTGAGATAATTAAGTTTTTGTATTGCAACCAACCTGATTCACCACAGCATTTCTTTTTAAATCATGCAGAGGCTAAAGTTAAAGTGATACTGTGAATTCTTAAAGCTAAATAACACAAATATAAAAAAATAATAAATACACAAGGCTTAGGCAAAACATGTTTTTTTAATATGCAATTTCACAAGTTTTACTTGAATGTTCTGTCAATTTTTTATTTTTATTTTTTATCTTCTCCTTCATGCACGACTGTTTTGACTGAAAAATACAAAAACTTTTCATTCCCTGCTATGGCTTAATAACAGAGGCAGGCACTTGATTAAACTAACAATATAGGACTTGAATGCGGTGCTTTCCTTTACTTTTTGATTAGAGGTTGTGTTCAACTTTTGGCAAAGGAATAGCGCACCATTATCAAAGCTGTCATATTAAAGAAAGCCTGTATTGGAGCTGTGAAATAAAAAAGGCTTTGATTTTAAGAGAAAGTTACACATTTGGAGGATGTGGAGACCCCATGTTTTACCAAGAAACTGTGAAGCAAGGAACAAAAACACAGTACTTTAAACAGCGTCTCAGCAAAAAAGGTTCCTTAAAAAACATTTAGTTCTTGCTATGTATGATTTATATTTAAAGTCAGATTGTAGTTCAGGTTAGCTACTTCAGGTTTTAGATGGGATACAATCAAAAATCCACAAACAATGGGACTGAAGCTTAACCTTAACTTCGCAGAGAGGTAAATGAGGCTAACCAGTCTTCCATACATGTCCATATTTCATTTTCAAGTTAGATGTACAGTTGAGAAGAGCTCACCATTATTTTACTCATACTTGTGTTTATAAATGTTTGAGTAAGCTTGTATAAAGCATGAGGGCTAAGAAACATTTGCTTTCACCTATCCCTCATCTCCACCCACTTCTCTTCTTAATCCTAACTTGCTTTAATTACATTTTTTTGGTTCAAAAATGTTCATCAGGAAACAAAAATAAAGTAAACATAGTCAAAACAGAGTCTGCAGCAAATACGAGCCAACAATGGAAAGCTCTGGACAAAAAGTAGGAGTAATTTAAGGTGAAACCAGGTAGAAATAAGTTGTTTTATTGGCCTTCACAGCTGTCAGCCCCACACAGAGGTGACTATGTGAGTGCAGGATCTGTTTACTGATCATTCACTTGCTCCCTGTGTGTCCTTCCTGTGTGCATTACAAAACATCAGATAAATAACCAGTTCGGAAACACAGTGTGAATTTGAGCATGCCCTAAGGTTTGGTTTATTGCTCCTAAATTACAGCTTGCATGCTTTCACACCGCCGTCTTGTCTCCTCACACAAAGGGGGCTATTTGTCACAAAATCTGGCAAGGTTAGGTTGTGTTGTCCATACTAAATCCCCAACAAAGAAAGATTACAATATGGTGACTTCAGCCTATATTTAAAGAATGCAAATATTTAAAGCTTTCAACCATGTCATTATTAATCATAAAAAGTATATTAGGGTTGTCAAAAATAGCTACCCAGGTATTAATCGATAGTAAAATTTATGCTGAAATTAGATTTTAACAAGAATCATTACAAGGGGAAAAAATATTTATATTGGACAGAATTGGACATTTCCTGAATAGTTTTAGAAATGTCTGTGGTAATAATTAATAAATTAGTTGACAAGTTTTATCCCTATTATTGGCAGTTTGACAAGTTTTGTTTAGTTTTGTTTTGTAATCCATTTTAAACTCCATTCATTTTTAACATACTTATACTAGAGAAAATACAAAGCAATAGTGTCTCATAGATTTTTCAGGAGATAAAGTTGTTACATGGGGAAGGTAGTGGCAGGGTGGTTATCAGCTAGCAGTAGTTTGAGGGTCCAGTTTCCAGATATTGGTATTTCCTTTTGTGTTGTGAATATTTTCTATGACAAAGCCCAAAGAAATGTACTTTTTAATCTGTTTTTATCTGGAGAACTGAATCTGAATTACCAACAGTGATGCATTTTTAATATAATACCCACCTAAGGCTGGGTTAAACCAACAACAGAAAAAATGCAATATTTTTTCTCATATATTTTTTGATTACATCTGGTAAATCATCATAATTAGCTGTTTAATTTAGCTTGACGCACTGCTTAAACAGAGCTCAAATATGTGATGACATGATCCATTACCAACAGTGTAGTGACATATGCTGCTCTGCTCAGGGACCAATCACAACCCAGCACCAAGCACCTGCCACTTCACATCCATCTGTCTCTGCTCCGAGTCCCATACACAACAAGACTCCAACATGAACAAGAGATCTCATATCTGATGTGGATTTCAAAGGAGATATTGAATAAAATATTGCAAAATGTGTTATCAATATATTATTAAATGCAATCTCTTATCACAAAGCTCCAACCATGATATTGCCTTTTGTATTGTGCCTGGCTTTTTTTATTCTGTTTGTCTATAATAATTGTTTTCAATCCACTCTGATGAAAATAAGAAAGATGCTAAATCTGGAGTATTTACAGATTGGATTTCTTGCTCATTTTTTTCATTGAACCTCAAGCTTATTTTATATTTTTTAATGAAGATATATCTTATGTCAAATCACAAGCTTATGAGCTCTCAACTATGTTATAATGGCTTTCTCTCACCCTTAAGTTACTCAGAGTTGTATGATCGATTTATGCAGGCTTGAGTAATCCTGCATTGCCCTGCATTTAATGCTTGAGTGCTCTAAAAAAAATTCTGTTTTCACCTGTCCTCATCTCCGCCCACAGTTCTGTAATTACTTGCAATTATTCAAAACTCATTGATTATGGGGCAGTTGTGTGGGCAAAAAATGCATATCCATTTTCTAACAATAAAAACATGTAGCCTAAATCAATATCACTTCTTTCAACAGTGGAATGCTACAGTTTTTAAGTCAGTGGACCTGTCCTCTTCTATTACTAGTTCTGTTTTTCATATTTTTAGTTAATATATCCTCCTCCTCCTCTAAAGAAATATTATTGTTAGAGTGCTGGGGGGTCTCACCGTGAGGGAAGGTGACCTGGAGGGGCTTGGTGGTATTCCTCAGATTCCACAGGGTCAGGCTGCCGTCCGAATGGCTGCACATGAACTGCTTCCCCTCGTGATGCCAACTGACAGAGTGAATGGCCTGATACCACAGAGACACACAGAGGAAAGAAGACATGTCAGTTTACATTACACATGTCACATGTAAGATGTATGTATTGTGCTCTATGAGGTACTGAGGTGTAGGGATGTAATGCTATCCAGTTCTCATGGTAAGATATTTATTGCAATATTTTGTATATGTTCATGTTTATGTATATTTTGAATATTTTTCATAAGCTACTTATTGCTTTTAAAACACCTTGATAAGACTTTGGTGTCAAGGTACTGTCATAACTCCAAGAATCAAGATACAAAAGATATGTCTTAATTTTGTCTGCAGTCAAATGGATGGAAATGATATGATATTAGCTGTTGCTACCACAAAAAAATGCTGTGAAGTAAATGAGCTTGTGATTCAAAAAATTGTGATAGCCCATGATTTTATTTTGAGACAGAGAATACGATTTCACAATATTTTGGTTATTCTTATATCTGTACTGAGGTGTTTGGGGGAATGCAGACAGACAAAAATCACCATGTAATTTGAGACATACTGCAACAAGCTACTGCAGCTATTCTGCTTCTTGTTTCTATGGGCCTGATTGTTATATTTCACAAACAATTTGTCCAAGTCTGAGTCCATTCTGCATTCATTTCCACTTCCAACATGAGCAGATGTCTAAACCAGCACGCCAGCCCCTCCTATTGTCTGTTCAAATGCAGTTGGATCTGGGCACCAGGCACATACCCCATCAGGTTTTTAGAAAATATATAATTTAAAACTCAGACTGACAGTTTAGTGCTGTCCCATGTGATACAATAGAAGTCCACCCTGTGTTTCAGTCCTCTGTGTGATTTTTTTCTGTCTGTTTATCTTGTAAGCTGCCATGTTAACAATCACTTTTAATATTTGAAGAATAGAACCTTCAGGACCAATCATTAATCAATACATTAGAAACATATTTAAGAGCAGAACTGAATGAGGAGTTCAAGACATTCGTGAATGGTCTAGTTGGCAAAGCTAGCTGCACTGAGGATTTTGTACAGTTAGAAAAGAATAATAGAGATAGATAATAGAATAAATTAATTAAATTTTTTTTGTAAACACAATTAGTGCATAAAGCATGGCATTACTTCACAGTATATTTTTGTATTTCACTGCCCTTTTCCCCAAGTGACCTCTTCTTTGTTGCTATTTTGGTGTTTTTCCAGCACCTCTGTCATGCTGCGTTAACAAGGGCCCTGATTAGAGCCAGCCACAGGAGAGGCTTTGGGAGATGTGTCACGGTGCAGACAGAGCATCCGAGATTTTAGCTTCAGGTGCCCAAACCCCATGTGTATGCACAACATGAGCAGAAATATATTTACTCTTCTCCTTGAGTGAATATAACCCACTATTTGCCTAAATGTAAATCCAGCCACTAGGGGGCAAAAGTCAGTGTGTTATTTTGCCAGCACCAAGCCTGAATAAACTTGACTGGTTTTGGGTTAGATATAGATATTAGATATGAAAATCTATGTGAACTTATATCAACTTATTTAGAGATATATTTGATTTGATGTGGCTAAACAAAAGAAAATAATATAAAGCAACACCTGTTAACTTTCTGCACTGATCCCAAAGAAATGAAAAAATATACTTTGGAACATTTTCCATGGAGATAGTTTTGTTACCGTGAAAGCTATGCGAACAACATTTCCATAGAAACAAGAAGGTGTAAGCTTTCCTTATGTCTCTAAAAGGCTATGCAGGGGTGTCTTTAATGTAAGGTAATTTCATTTATGATTGAAAATTAGGGCTGGGCGATACGGAGCAAAAAATATATCTCGATATATTTTGCTTTATCTCGATATATAATATATGTCTCAATATCTTTGCAGGAAAAATAACCCCCCAAAAACTACTGCAAAAACAAATATGCAAAATTCCACAAGGTCTTCTTTTATTGAAGTGCAAATAGGTAGGCAGTTCATGCAGGAACAGAGTGATTCTGCAACATAAAAAAAAATAAGATAAAATCCTGTTTACAAAAATAATAATTTAAGTGTAAAATAAAGGAAGAAATAATTCATATTGCTTTCTTTTCATTCAAAAATAAAACAACAAGCTCATCTTCGTATTAACTCTGTTAATCTGTTAATCATACGATAACCATAACCATGAGCTCTTTTAACAGAGGAAGCTTAGGAAGTTCCTGATTTTAATAGATCCATGTTCCTCACCAGCGGTAAGGAGCTATGAGATAACCCACAAGCCACTGCAGATCAAACTAAACATTTCCAAATACTACTGTACAAATTATGCACTCCACCAGATTACTGATTAAAATCTTTTGCATAAATAAACTTTACATTATATTATGTATTATAATGTGTTTAATGCAGTTTTGAGCACATTTGTTTATGTTTTACAGAAATGAAACTTAAAATCACATGGCTCATTTGCATAAACTAAAAGAGCTGAAAAAAACTGCTCGCTATTTGTGACCTGATAGGGTCAGCTACTGTCAGACTAAAGGACACGATTCAGTGGAATATGTGTGTTCTCTCTGTGACAGATGATGTGTTGCTTATGGTGAGTCTGTAAATGTTGGAAAAGGTTTGTGGTGCTAGAAGATTTGGTTGGCACCAACTTAGGGCATTCATGGGCTGGTTGTGGGCGCCATTGTGTTGAATGAACAAAAGCAAAGTGGCGAAGTCAGAATTAAATATAAGCATTATACCAATATATATGATGTGTCAAAGTCCATTTCATGTTTTAAAAATATCTCAATATATTTTAAATATCGAGATATCACCGACCCCTACTACCTTTCCAGCAAAACTTTAATTAAAATGGCATATGCAATTGTATTTAACTTTAACAGTGAGACTGACAGATTCATTGAAGCAAACAGACATATGTATCAACTTTTATTTTCTTCTGCACATTTCCCATAAAAACATAACATAATTTTTCTAATTATACTTTTCTGTAAGACTAAATAAATGTGTGTGAAGTTTTATTAGCTGTGATTTGGAGTTAATCATTTTGGACCTTCTTGTCCCTTATGATTTTAAGGAGAAAGACATTTTATACAATTTCCCATAATTTCAAACTAACCTCATACAACCCAAAGCAGGTGTTGCATATCAAAACACCTCCTCTATATTTTTTACATAATTGTCTGACCTATAGTACTTGCATTACTTGGGAAAATATTTTGAACAGTTTCATGTAGAGATATCGTGGGCCGACTTTTTCAGTCACAAAATAAATATGAACTCATACAAATAGGCAAACAATCTTTTATTTTTTTTATTTTATTATTATTTTTATTATTTGCATTAACCATTGTATTAAATAATCCTAATTACAGTACCATCTGAAAATTATAAAGATGTGTTATGGATATGATGTTTTTCATCACTTTTTCATCACTTATTAGTGAATATGTGTATTTTTTTTGTAGCTCAAATTTTTCCATCATATTGAATGATTTAAAGCAAAACATAGTGAAATTTCTGAACTTCTGAAGTCTGAATGTCACTCCAAAACACAAGCTTTTTACTGACAGAGGATTGGCCGTAAACCTCTCAATAAAAAAATACTCAAGCTGTTCAGTGATGATTGTAAATGACTGTATATCAAAGTTTTTGTCAGAAAAACATTACAATGGAGAAACTATGACACAATACAAAATAGCTACCAAATTATACTCCAGCCATGTGGTCATAATATTTGATTATATTTGTGGGTTTCAGAATGATGAAAAGATGGTTGTCATAACAATTAACAATTCAATTCAATATATCTTTTGAATGATCAATTGTGCTCAAAATGGCACCATATAACTGGAAGCTGAAACCAATGAATAGGGGTAATCCATTTTAAAACTCTGCACTATATATGGTAGAATATTGTGTATCCTTGAGTGTGAGACAGCTTTGCTAAAGGTGCAGCCTGGAGGGTCCTATAATGAATGTTCGCAGGATGTGAGCGCTGAGTGAGACGGAGATGAGAGATGGCAGAGCGTACGGGAGATCAGTGCCACGGAGGGGAAATGTCCAACACCGACATTGGTTTGAGGGCAGAGGGTTTCAAACAAAAGCTGATTAAATAAGACGCTATGTGATCCTATGTGTCAGGGAGGACACAGGAGAGAGGAGATGAGATAGTGATGTTATGATAACCTGGGAGAAGTAAGTTATACCTGCCTGTCTGGGGGGTTTCAAGAACAAATGTGAGCTTCTTTAACCGGTTATTTTATGAATTATGAAATTTTAAAAAGTTAAAGAAAATAATAATTGACTGATGATATAAAATACACCTTTTGGGTGTCAGATGACGTGAGATCACCCCAGACTATGGTACAACTGGCTTTGTTCTTATAGCTTCCAGACAATCTTGACAAATTCCTAAATCATTTAATTAGGGATGCACCAACCCATCCTTTTTAGTTCCGATACCGATATCAATATTTTGGCTTTTGGTACTGGTAATCCCCAATATTAGCCAATACTAGTGTAGGGACTGGTAAAAGGCTGTTTATTTTCATCAAAACACACTCTACTTTCTACAAAATTCAAGCGATCCATTTTATAATCCATATTATTTATCTTATCCAACTTATTTAGCCAACTGTTGAACAGCTTTGTATGAATAAAAGTTAAGAATTAAGAAATGATCTAGACCAACATTTGCCATTAAATATCACATCCAATAAATGGCTCAACCAAGATAGTAAGAAAGATAGTACAAAAGGAAGAAATTTGTGAATATTATTGTGAAATTCACACAAGGGAGGTTCTCTTTTTGTTTGTTTGTTATATCACCCAGCCATATAAAACTGTATTATGAGATTTGAGTATTTTTAAATCTTTAGAAACCTCGAACAATTGCTCAAACCAAACTTCCCTAATGATCTACCACTCCTGTCTGTCCCTTTTGTGTTTCTCCCCCACAATGACACATCTACAGTTTCACCTGAGTGTTTGCTGCGCTCTGTCAAAAGTCTGGTCTATCTCCACCTTTCTGATCCTGTTCCTGTTCAGCCGCAGTAATTGGTTTCAAAAGTCAAGCCTAACGCAGCTCTTCATGTTGACGCCGCTGTAGTTCAAAGCCATTTAAAAATACGAATAAACAAACACTAAAAGCTAAATGCTAATCACAGCCTTTTGGTAGTCCAGCCAGAGTTATTTTGGCATTGTTTTTACTTCTGAAAGTGCTATTAGAGTGCAAAAGGTTGTAATAAATAGTACTACGTGTTGTCTGGGGCATCTGTGGTGTCGATACGATGCTTGATAATGGCTCAATTATGCTCTAAGCTCTGAGCAAACATGAGTAAGTGCTAGGGCAATTTTCTCTTCAATTTATCACATTTTATTTGTCTATCCTGGCTATTACCACTTACTCGTGTTATTTAGCAACACAATATGTACAACAGTTAGAGAGATACACCTATATATTTTTAAATAATAATGCTGTGTTCTTATTACTCAAAGTTCTCAAAGTTGTTTCATAATGTAGGGTGCTATTATAAATTTCATTCACTTCTCAATTACTCATAGTGTTAAGTGTAAATGAGATCGACCAATAAAAATGTAGCAACCAATCGCCTCAACAACAACTTGTAACCTGTAGCTTGGACTTGAAACAAGTCCAAGTTACAGGTCTGATCTGTGGAGAAGTTGTTGCTGATAGAACAAATGCATAAATAAATAAGTTGAATGTCATACTTTGAAACATTCCAAAAAAAGCAATAACATCTCCATGGAGACAAACAGGTGGCTGACCGTCCATCAGAAAAGTTGCTTAGTACTTAAGATAGTAGTGAAGAATCTCCCATTAAGGCTTACAGCGTTGCACCTCATTATGTTGTTAAAACTCACCTCGTCGTAATAGATCCTGAAATCTGCCTTCTTGGCTCGCAGGTCCCACTGTACAATTGTTCCGCTCTCGAACCCAATCAGCAACTGAAAAAGATAAGAAAAAGTCAAGATGTTATCAATGAAGTAAGTTTGAAATAATTAGCATTCTGGCCCTCTATTCTACTGTTTTTACTCAAACGAAAGAAGCCAATTATTCTGGCCCAAAAGTACCGCTTCTTCCTCTACCTGGAGCTACTTTTGTGTCCCACTTTGAAAGCTCCTCTTTGTGTTTGTGAATGTTCACAGTCAGACTTCACCAGCACGGCTCCTCTTGCCCATTGTAACAGCACATTTCACTTTAGGGAGCCAGCGGGAGAGAGAAGTAAGGACGCTTGGAGATGTAATTCACAGAGCCATTTTGTAGTGTTGTCAAAATCAGCAGTGGTTTTGGAAGAAAATAAGTTCACTCTTGAAGCAATTATCAAGTTTTTTGGAATAATAATAACTTAACATAGAGAATACAACATAGAGAGGATTGGGTAGTTTAAACACAGTTTAAATGCAAAAAATACAATAGCCAGTAACAACACAAAACAAAACAGGCAGGTGCAGAGACCCTTTATAGTCTTGTGGAACATATCAATATGAAACATGAATGGGGTTCAAAGTGTTATTTTCAAGTTAATCAAATACACTTGAATGGTGCATTATCTATGTCAATATCACATATAACACAATTTTGGAAATGGCTCGATACTCATTACCCAATTTCAAAATCACAATGTTCAATTTTTATACTAGTTTCTATGACAACCTTGTTCACCACAGCTTGATGATAAACTATTTCCACAGCCACAGTTGCCCTGGGGGAAATGACTGATGGAGATGTGGGAGATCATTCTGCACATGTAGCCAGTCATTATCACTATCAAACAACCACACAGGCACAAGGGGTGAGGTGTCTTGCTCGAGGACACATCCACAATACAAAATTATTAGAGCGGGATTTGACCTTTTACTTAGGATGGGGTGATAAATATTTTCAGGAGTTGTCCAGATGTACTGCATAATTTAATAGTTTTTACTTAGTTATTCAACTGATAACTTTGAGTGTAGAGTAATATCACACTGCATAAAATAACATATGCATAAGGACAGTCATTATTAGAAAAGGCAGGGCCAACAAAACCCACAAACAGACAAATAGAAACCCCTGATGGAAACACTGTTGACACTATCTGAAGTGAGATCTGACGAGAGGAGCGAAGTAGAGAGCAGCCTTTAAAGTCACAGGGAGAGAGAGAGGGAAAGAGTGATGGAGGGAGTGACACAGAAAGAGGGATAGAAAGGGAGAGACGCACAGAGAGAGAGAGAGGGAAAGACAGAGCCAAAGACAGTGTCAACTATAACTCTAATCTTAGACTTAGACTAGTAACAAATGTAATGCCTATTTTATTTCTAGATACTTTCAAAGCATAATTTATCATTCTAAAATCTACTAGCTGTCTTGTAATTTGAATTAATAATTTAATCTCATCATTTGGCACAGACATACTTTGATAGCACAAGGCTTAACACACTATTTATTTTACAAAATATGTCAGTACCGGAAGTGCCAGAGTTATTTTCCAGTAGGCTCACTTTTGATTTCAATCAACAATCATTTCAATTGCATAGCAACGCACACAGTTGTTTCCTTCAGGTTAGCAATCAATCAAATGTCAGATAGCGTGGCTTTAACTTTAGCAGGACACCTAGGACACCAGTTACAAGTTATATTTTGTAATATAAATAAACTGAATAAGCCACATTTGTTTTGCTAGTAATATTTACATTGTCTACATTAAAGGCGCAGTATAAAACTTTACTGGTAGAGGGTTCATCATCTGCATGTCTCCATGGAGATGAGAGATATTACTTTGCCTGGAATGCTTCACAGTATGGCATTATTACGCTATCTTCATGGAGAGAAGCAGATGGCATGCAAAATAAAACATTTCTTGAGAGGTGACCCCACTCACCCACGACAAGAAAAGTTACATATTGCACCTTTAATTAACACATCTGATATTTGAGCACTTAGGTAGCCCTCTGGCATTCATTTATAATAAAACAGTAATATAATAAATATGACATCAGTGAAACCACTCATGTCCTCAAAAGCTCTTTTCATCCACGTTCCTATTAATATCACTTATACTTTTCTATTCAAAGGAAGAAGTTCATGACACTAGCTCCAACAAAGACTTAATGCTGAGATCTCTTAGGGCCAAGAGAACAAAGGTTAATAAGCATCTATGATAAAGCCAGCTTTGACTACAGGTGAATCATTATTACAACGTCACTAATGTATACTCTGACTCACAGGAAGAACAGACAGTGGGAGACGCTTTCCATAGACAGAAATAACTTAAAGATATCCTGTTTGCTCTACACATTACGTCAATGCATTTACTAAATATTTTAACATTTTAAATAAGTTGTCATTTTAAGTGCGTCAATAGGGCAGGTGTTTTTTAGCATGCTTAGTCAGGATCACCTAGCCTGCCGACTCATTGCCTATTGTGCATGTTATGGAGGAAGCCCACCCAGACACCAGGAGAAACAAGCAAACTAAAAACTATTCTATATGTATGGTCTTGTTAATATACATGAGCAACAATATATACAGTAAATGAGATACTAATATGTCACAAGTTATTTATTCAACCCTCTACAGCTCAAGTCGTATCATAGTACAGAATAATAACAAAAACTTCCCCACTGGTACAAAGAAAAAGTAAATAATTGTTCCCTCTATGATGTATTGAACACTAAATCAATAAGAAAAAATACTTACTCATTTATATGCAAATTACATAAAAATCCTCAAATTTGCACATATGTTATAGAGTTTGTTGAATTAGATAACCAAGTTCCATTGGGAGTCTGTTTTTCATTGAACGCTAGTGCTCACCACAGCATTTTCCCTTAATAAATAAATAGTCATGTGAACACGTGGTCTTGCCCGTACAGCTTCAAAGGCAGTGACTGCAACAGCACAGCAGAACTCTGGTCCTCATGTGACTGTCACAACACAACAAAACCGATCCAATATTGGAGTTGCAGCTGGATCGGGTGCAGTCCAAATGAGGTGTTAGTAGCTTTTTGAGAGCGGTTTCTATTTTTATCTCCCATTTTTGATGAAAAATTTTAGAAATATTGTTCTGCAGTGACAGTGCAAGAGTCTACTACCCCTCTTTTAACTGCAGAGTAAAATTGATAGCCTGAGTGACAGAATAATAAAAGAACTGTTGTAAACAAGTGTCCTTTTCATGTCTTTACAAGTCGTCAGCCCTGGTTTCACACAAGAGTGGGGAAATCAATATGTAACATCTCTTTATACATTTAAGGCTTTTCCTCACAATTTGTGTGTCTCTGGACTGCAGAAAGTGTACTGCAGAATTCTATGGGGATCTTTGCCTGCAGCCTGATGACAGCTCTGTTCTTATGTGTGAATATGTGAAAAGAAAAAGGCAGGTGACAGTAACATTCTGTATGTGGTGGGTACAGTACAGTAGATTTGTTTTGCAGTGACTCAGCGAGTTTGACTGAATATAATGAGGTAATATAAAATGTGTGATAGACTGAGATAGGCTGCTGAGGAATATGTATGACACAGCCAGAATGTGAATTGACAAAATCACCCTATAAACTAATTACATAATTCTGTTCATTTATATTCACTGCACTACCTAATGCAAAAATTGTATGGCCAATTTGAACAAGATCTGCCACTATGAATTTACTTCAGTTTTAAATTATGTAATTGAGTTAGTTAAACTGGATTGGACAATTGAAGGTAGTTATGAAAAAACCCAGTAAAGTGAAATACAGGTCAAGTTGTTTTTTCATTTGCCATGGTTACACAAAACTTGGTTGATAAGTTTTGGCCTTCAGTAGTTCATTTCACAGTTGGTAGTTCTAGGTCATTTCAGTATCAAATAACTGATCTATATTTTCAACCACGACGTCTGTGTAATCCCTCAGTTGTCCACTTAGGTGCCAAAGGAAATTGAATTTATCACCTGGACAAAAGTTTTTAGGAGTGAATCTGTTTTGGCACTCATCCAAAAGGCTTCTTCTATTCTGACATGGTTCTGGTAAGTGTAGACAGATAAGGCAGGATCCTGAGTGGCAAAACGTATTCACTTTTCAAATTGTCTGTCCAGCTGACGGAATTCAATTTCCTTTTGCCATTTGCCACCTAACAAAATTGTACTTTTCAGAGTACTTTTCTAGCTGGATACCTTTACTCCTGGTTGAGTAATATTTTGATTAAAGTAAGAGTAAACTTACTTGAGTAAAAGTTTTGGTTGCCCTTCCTGCTGTGTCTTGTGACAAAAGCTTTATGTTGATAATAAGAAATTATACGAACATGTGTGTTTCTTGCACCACTCTTTCATATAAAATTTTGTCTAATTTTTGCGTGTTTTGTCCTTTCAGTGACATTAACTTTAAATTATAAATCAGATGTTATGTCCCAACAGTTACTTGATAGTACTTTTCCAGAATACTTCTCCTTGGACAATTTAGACCTTAGATTAGAGGGTAATATTATTTTGAACATTCCTCTTAGTTAAGTACAATTTTTGGCTACTCTACCTACCTCTGCAAGCAAAATGCACAGACAGACACCAAATACATAGGACTACCGAAGAAAAACTGGAAAGCCGATGTCTTGCCGGGTTATAATTCTTTGCCATTTGTGGTAAATTCAGTGGTTTGGTTATTTAAAACACAATCTAAACATGGCGCTTTATCTCAACACGCCTCTCCCATTATTGCACATGCCTGTAGTCTGTTCTATATAATCACATTTTATAAGCTTTGCCTATGGGCTGGTCATGAATTGCAATTTGTTCTTATATGAAACCTCCTGCAATATTAATATACACAATCCTCACAGCAGCCATATGCACTTCCAACCCATTTGATTTAACATACAGTAAAAGAACAATTTCTGTTATGCAGGGATATGGTCTCCACTAAATCCTTTGGGCAGAATACAAGAAGCATGTTTGGCCCAGCATTTTTCAATACTGCAAACAGCCCTAGTATGAGCTGTTGGCAGTAGGTTTCATAAAAAAGAAAATGGTAAAAGAAAAAAAACTAAAGGGTACCATGTGTTTCTCAAAGCGCGACATTATTAGACGCCCCAGGAATGAGCAGAGCAGAGCAGGGGAGACAGAGGAGTGGACTCACCTTCCCTTCATCTTTTGGACTGTCACTCAAATGCACCACGGGCCCTGGGTGAGTTTTAGTCGATCTGTGGCAGGAGACAAAAGAGTAAAAAAGAGGAGAAGGTCATACAGGTGACAGGTGAACATGTTGTAAAGATGGAGAATTACCACATCATCCCCTTTGAATTTAGGAGTCTATCTGACATTTATGTAGAAACTGAGTGAGTCATATATTCATTCGTTCCTCAATACTGTCTGTAGATTTTATCAGGTTTGCTACCCTTTTTATGAACAAAAAAACTTTAAACATCAATGTCTCAGAACTATCTTAACACATATAATTCTAAAGACAATATTGTGTAGAAGTGCAATAATCAATTTCTGTCTCTTATGCTGCTTCTGTCCTCTTATTCTTCAACCACTCCACACTGTCTAATGAAGCCAAATAATCTTTGAAAATGTGTCAAAATTCATGTATTGCAAAGGACATATACATTCATGTGCACTATGTAACTTTTCTGGGTCATCTGCTTGTCTCCATGGAGATATTAACCTTAAAAGTATCTGTCTTCAAAGAAAATAGTGCTAAAAGACCAAGTTACAAGTCAGATCTGTGGCAAGGCAAGATGGCTCACAGTAGGAATTCATATTTTTGTAGCAGTTGGAAACATATTTAAGTGAGCACATGCCGACTACACAAAGCAATAAGATCACCATGCAGGTAAGCAGGTGACAGAACCCCCACCAGAAAAGTTACATAGTGCACCTTTAACTGTAGTTGAATTACATCACAGAATATGAGAAATCCTTTATTATGAATCATCTCAATCTCAAAATATGATGTCATGAAGTTTTCAAGTTAACTGCTACCTTTTACCTTTAATTCAGTAGCAAATGGCACCTCCACGGATGAATTTATCTAAATTATTCTAGTGAAGATGTATGGAGTTTAAAAACACACTGGGGCACTTCCTGTATTACCACATGACATCACAAGGTGTTTTCTGTTTGAGAGAAGAACTCAGACTAAATGTACAGTATGTGTTAAACGTGTGAATGAAACAAAAACCAACTCTGGATTTTTGATGAAGAAACAACATTATAAAACAGTTTAATATAGGCTGTATAATATACTTTAATTATATTTTACTGTACTGTTTTGTTGAAAGTTGAAATTTTAAATGTATACTACCTAAACATATTTTTTTTTATATTTCTTATACAGCTTTAATGTTTCAGTGTGACAACTATAGCCTGTATATGTATTTTCCTCAGCCCCCTGTCTCACTGTCCTATAGCCTGTCTGCTCCACTCTCTGGGGTGAAGCGTGGCTGCCATGTTCTTCACATGTGCCTATTTCGTCACGCCTGCTGCAGTGGGCCGATAATAACAGGAAACTGCACATGAGCCGGTGTATTTCCACTCTGTTTTTAAGTCTGTAATAGGGTAACGGACCACCATGACACCACAATGCTCTACACCTGTCCAATCTGCAGAGTGCCACAATGGGCCAATGCCAAGTGCTACAATCTCGCCTTCACAGTCACCCATAACAAACACCAATGCCAGAAACACATTTCACCATTAATGCTTGTTTGCACTTTTGACCCCAGTCGTCTAATTGCATATCAACAAATAACAGTCCATGACATACAGTGCACCTTTATTCTTACAGATAAAGGAAGATATTAAGTTCTGGGTGAGGGAAAATATGTTGGCTTCCTGCTTTTGAATTTGAAAAATGTAGACCTTGAATTCTTAATTGTTAAGCTGAAAAGAAACTAACCTCACGACTCCAATAAAAGTTTCAACAAGGCCAGTCTTTTAAAAAATAATTCAATTATGAATACTGCTATAGAAATGTAGATAGAGTAAGCTATGAAACACCTTTGAGTAACCTTAATTGTTAAATTACAACTATTTTATGTCTTTTAAAGAAATGGCATTGTAAAAAAAAATCTTGATGCTGTCTGTCAAGTTACAGGTCAGATCTGAGGCAACCCCGCTCACAGTCAGAATGCCTGATTTTCTATGGATTTTTGAGCTATAAAACCATCTGTAATTTAATAAATGTAAGGTAGAGCTGTTTAATGTCATACTATGGAACATTCTAGGCAGAGCAATGGTATATCCATAGAAACAAATGGGTGACGGACTCCAAACCAAAAAGTTACATAGTGCACTTTAAGAATACTGAAAAAAAAAATCACATAAATTAGATAAAATTGGACCATGAACAGTTTTAGCTTGAGTTTATCAGAACTAGTATAAGACCACATGGTATAAAAAACAAATACTATTTGTTTTTATATGTAGTATTAAAAATGTAGTATGTAGTATTAAAAATGACATTTTTTTATCGTGACAACACTAATACTGTTATGGGGGGAAAATAGTCTCGCGTTTCTCCCTTTTATAAATATAAACATAAAATACATCATACAAATGCTCTAACACTGAACTCACATTGTGGCCTCACTGTTAAGGTTTTATGTGACACTTGATTCACGGCTGCTTTCTCACCCATCTAAACACAGAAATGTAGAAACACAAGCACAGACGGATGACATGCTTTGGGAGGACCAGGGAGCCATGGTAACCCCACACCATTAGGGAAAATAGAGAAATAAATGCATAACAGACAATAACATACAGATTAGAGGAGGCACAGGCAGGAGGCTTCTGAGTATACAGAGATAGAGCAGTGCACATTTTAGATAGTCTAGATTTTAAATTTTTTTCTTGTACTTAACGATTCACCGGAAATTTATTGCATTCTAGTGCAGGGCATTTTGAGAGAGCAAAACCTTAGTTTGCGTTAATTTAGTTATAATATAAATACAGATTATGAGATGTTAATTGCAAGCACCAATTTATCTAAGGCTTTGTTAGACTTTAATATGAGTTCTATTTTACCACAATCTACCATAAAAAAAACTGACTTAGCTGGAACTACAACAGGAAGGTTGATTTGTGCTGTTAAAGAAGTCTCTAATACACAAAATTGCAGCCACAAGCTAGCTAACATTAGTTTTTCAGCCGGTCACTTTCACCATTTTTGTTGATCATCAAACTCCTAAATCAGACCATGACGGCTCGTAAGGCTCCTGAAAATATACTGTTGAAATCCATTTTGTATTGATTCTTGAGTTTTCAGACAATCTTAAACATTTTTTGGCAGTGTTTGCTCATGTTTGCATTGTGGCTCCATGGTAAGTGTTGAACATTTCACCATAGAGATACATGTACAACCCCCCCATAGTGATGTCACTACAAAGTATCAATATTATAAGGACTAAAAGACCTTTACAACGAGTTCTATAAATATTTTTCAATAAATGGATTAACATTTAAAAATATGTATTTTTGTAAAGTACACAAAAATGTTTCATTCATTGTAAGATAATCCTGATACTTTTGTCAATAGAATAAAACCGTCTTTATGCTTTACGAGTAAATGAAGTGAATTAATTCAATTTTAATAAGGATGATGATTTTAAAGTGCTGAGAGAACTGGGTGTGAATGATGATACAGAATTGTTATGATGCTCCAGTTAATATAAAGACTTTCTCTTTGTATGTTTGATTTTATGAGCTGTAACATCAACCTGCCCGAGGACTACAGGTGGAAATTAGCACTGGCGCTACAACCTGGTACAATGCATCTCTCCTGTTAAGGTTAATTTATATTGTGCACTGTCCGTGTCTCATTAAATAAATAAACTAAAGTAAACATATTATTGTTTAATCACAATATATTGCAGTTGCAAATAAGTAATTGTGGGTTTTGCTATGCTATGCTATGCTAGGCTAGGCTATGCTATGCTAGGCTATGCTATACTATATAACTATAAAATTCAGCAAACTCTACTTGTATGTTTACAGAATATTCAGATAGAACTGTATAATTCTAATGGATGAAACGAAATAAGCAATATGTAAAATTCTAATGCAAATTAGTGAGCCAGGCAGCCATAGGTTTCTACTGTGTTCTGAAATGAATTTGATCTCGCCAGCCCTATGGACTCAAGCGCATTCAAACTCTAGACACATTTAATTAAGATTGGCATAAACACATTTCAGAGGGTCATGTGACTTCTCTCAGCACAGAGGAGGTTGGGCAGCTGTCTGTTCACACTGTTAATTTCCTCTCATTTTATATCTCATTTTGGGATGAATCTTTTGAAAATGAAATTGTGCATTAAATATGTGGCAGAGTCATTTGAATTTCAATGAGTGATCAGGCCCTAGTGTTTGGAAACAGGAGTCCCAGTTGAATGGATGATATTAGATTATTTTCAAGCAGCAAAGTGAGTTTGCGTTTTATTAAGGATCTGTGAATAACAAATATGTATTGCACCAAATATAAATACAACATTGTGGCTTTTTTGTTTGTACAATCTGATTATTATTCTCGTTTCAGAGGGGAAAGTTGCTGTGCAGTAATGATGAAGGAAATGTATTCTTTTAAACTTTTCATGAACCCCACTTCTGAAAGGGAGTGAATGCTGACAATACAAATAGTTTCAGCTATAGGGACAGTGAGTGCTTTACACAAGCCTGGCAGCAGGGAAACCTTGAGAGGAAACTAGCAGAGTAGACTATAGAGGTAGCACAGTTCCAAGTTCTTTGCATATTTGTACTTTAAATAGTATGATTGTAAATATTCATGAATCAACCATATATTCTGTACCCTTCAGTTTATTTTGAGTTTGAAGTGACAAACTAAATGAAGTAATAAACTAAATTAAATTATAAACTAAATGAGGTCAGTTCTTCTCTCAACTTCAACCAACAAATTAATTTATTTTGGGATATAAAAATTAACTGAACATCTGGAGTTTGTAGCAGCATGTGCAAATTGAAAAAAAAAAAAAAAAAAAATGTAAAGATTAACACGTTACACTTAACACTAATTTGTCCTCTGTGATTTTATTGCTAACCTTGGTCAGGACTACCGTAGCTGAAGGATTTTTATTTATGGTGCGTGTTTTAGGTTGACAGAGAAAACTTGAGCACCCAGCGCAAACCCACCCAGACACGGAAGAAACATGTGAACTCCACACAGGAAGACCAGGGCGACCAG